ATATATTTTTAATCAATAAAAAAGGAAAAATTCCCGTTCCTATTTTGACTCAGTAACCTCACATCCTGGATTTTTTTTTCCCCTGAAAAAATAGCATGGACATGCACATTTAACTGCAAGATTATCAGCCTGCTATTTAGAAAAGCAAAAAAAAAAAAAGTTTAATCACCTAAATGTCACAAGAGGATTTTTATCAATTTATGGTATATCCATTCAGTGAAATGCTGCATAGCCATTAAAAAGATATAAAAGAAATGTGTCAAATAGAGATAATACAATATTTACAGTATTCCATTTCTGTAAAAAGAAGTTTTATATACAACAAAGTCTAGGAAGAATATTAACAATGGACATCTCTGGCAGTGTGGTATTATGAAATGTTTTGTTTCTTCTCATTTTCTAAATTTTTCTGTCATAAATAGGAAAGTACCTGAATCAGGAAAACATTTATAAAATCATTTACACAGGAGTCCATTTATATGAACTTTAAAAAACAGGCAAAACATCTATGGTTAAAGAAGTCAGAATAGTGGCTCTCTGCAGGACTACTCATGGAGAAGACATGGGAGGGGACTTTCTGGGGTGATGAAGCATTCTGCATCTTGGTTTTGGGGTACACAGGTAAAATTGTATCAAGCCCTCTGGCTGGTGTTGCTCCATGGTTAGGGTCTTGGGTTTGATTCCCAGTCAAGGGGACATACCTGGGTTTCAGGTTCGCTCCCACCCCTGGTGGGGGTGTGTACGGGAGGCAACCAGTTGATGTTTCTCTCTCTCTCTGCCCCTCCCCTCCCATTCTCCCTCCCTCCCACTCTCTCTGTAAAATAATGGAAAAAATATCCTCTGGTGAGGATTGACAAAAAAACAACAACTTTTTATCAAGCTGTAGATTTAAGATCTGGACATTTTACTGTGTGTAAATGATCTGTTTTAAAAGAAAATATACCCACAAGAGAAAGAGGAAACAGGTGACTTCACAGAACAATTTTAAGGTAAAAAAGAGAAGTCTGTGACAAGACCTTGGTTTTCTCAGGAAGTAGGCTGTTGTAGTAACCAGGCTGGTGTAAAAGGATGCAGGTGGCTCGGACCTGAGGGGGGGGGGGGCGCGGGGGGGCGGGGGGGGGGCCCCCCCCCCCAACTGCACAAATTTTTGTGCACCGGGCCTCTAGTAAAAGTATAATATTAGATTGGACATCATTCCAGAGGTCCTTCCTGATGATGCCAGAGCCAGAGGGAAGCCCAGGTCCCAGGTGCCTGCCATTGGCTGGAGGGAAGCCCGGGTCCTGGGTGCCAGAAGGAACCCAGTACTGGCAGCTGGGGAAGGAAGGCCTACTCTTGCATGAATTTTGTGCATAAGGCCTCTAGCAGTTAATAATCCTGTATTATGTAGTTGAAAGTTGCTAAGAGAATAGATCATAAATGTTCTCACCACAGAAAACTTATAGTAAATATGGGACCTGATACAGGTGTTAGCAAATGCTAAGGTGGTGATTATTTTTTCTAATATATAAATGTGTCAAATCAACATGTCAAATACTTTAAACTTACACAATGTTACATGTCAATCATATCTCAAGAAAGCTGGGGGGAAACTAGGTGGAGTTAGTGGGAGTTGGATTCTTCACTAGAGATAAGGAGCTGGCACGAATGGGTGAAATTAAACCCCAGCCCCTTAGCTTCACACTAAGTGAAACCCCTCACTATATATGGGAAAAGTCAACTCAGAGAGTGTGAGTGAGTTAGGCATGGTCACATCCTTGTTAATGACCTAACCAGGTCAGGCCCCCTATCAGCATAATCCTGTTGTAGCCCCCTTCCCTCCCTCCACACAGTTACTGGCTATTTTCCCCACCTTTCTCATGACCCTCTGGTGGGAGAGACCTACAGAGATGCCTAGAGTAAGCCCTGAAGGAAAGTGTTCATCCTCTCCCTGTTCTCCCATTTTTAATAGTGAAAAGGCCTTCCTTTCCTTTGAGAACCAGGAGACTTTGCAGATGATTCCTGGCACCAGGACCACCTTCATGGCACTCTCCCAGGGAAGGAGGCTCTCAAGAGTCCATTTTATAGGAAAAGACCTAAAAGGCAAACGCGGTTAAGATTCGTGATCAAGGCTAGAAGTGAAAACAGGCCTCACAAACCTAAAATGCTCTTCTCCCCTGAGGTTATAGCCCCTGAGGGGACAAGTGCTGGTGTCACAGGGACCTTCTGAGAACATCACTGCAGTCCAAAGCCATGTTTCCCAGTGGACATTTCCCATCCCACTGCCTCACTGGTGAATGTTCCTGTCTCTTTAAGTTGTCACCCTTGGGCCCCCCTCCCTGGGCTTCCTGCCTCTGAGTTCTGAGAGGCAGGACACTTCCCCATGTGCTGGCAGGAAGAGCCTGCTGCACTCACAACTGGAGGACAGCAGTAGGTCAGGGCCTTCTGTGCCAGTCTCAGAGCCTGTCACTGATTCTGCAGGAAAGGTGAGCGCCAACAGGGGAAGGGAGTGGGCCAGGGAATAGGAGCTGTGAGGACCTGGAAGAATTCAGTGCCTCCAAGAAGCTCGCCGAGTGAGCACCTCCATTCTAGTAGGTACCAGGAAGGGCAGTGGGATCTACTAGTAGAAAGAGTAACTCCACACTCCTGGGTGTGTAAGGATGCCTGAGTTTCACACACAGCAGCTTGAGGAGAAGTGGCAACCATCTCCTGCAGCCTGGATGCCCACTCTCTTGCTCAGACTAAGCCCTCTCCCAACCTACTCCCCTAACAAGGAAGAAAGGGGTCTGCTCACTCTCCTGTAGGAGCCAAAACATGCTTTAGAAGACAGCAAAGACTCCCCACCTGCATATCCGACAAGACAAAGAGATTTCTTTCTTTTTCTTTTATTTTTATCTTTATTGTTAGAAGTATTACATATGTCCTCTTTACTTCCCCAATGACCTCTTCTAGCCCACCCCTGCACTCCACCTCAGGCCTTCACCACCCTGTTGTCTGTGTCCATAGGTTATGCGTATAGGCATACAAGTTGTTTGGTTGATCTCTTCCCATCCATCCACCCTCCCCCACCTTCCCTCTGAGGTTCAACAGTCTGTTCCACCTTTCTATGTATCTGGAAATATTTTATTCATTAGATTCCACATATAAGTGAGATCAAGTGATACTTATCTTTCTCTGACTGGCTTATTTCCCTTAGCATAATACTTTCCAGGTCCATCCATGCTGTTGCAACAGGTAAGAGTTCTTTCTATTTTATAACTGCATAGTAATATATTGTGTACTAGTAAATGTACCACAGTTTTTTAGCCACTCATCTTCTGATGGGCAGTTGGGCTATTTCCAGATCTTAGCTATTGTAAGTTAAACTGCTATGAACATAGGGGTGCATATATTCTTTCTGATTGGTGTCTCTGGTCTCTTAGGATATATTCCTAGAAGTGAGATCACTGGGTCAAATGGGAGTTCAATTTTTAATATTTTGAGGAAACGCCATACTGTTTGCCACGGTGGCTGCACAGTTTGCATTCCCACTAGAAGTGGACAAGGATTCCCTTTTCTCCACATCCTTGCCAGCACTTGTTGTTTGTTGATTTGTTGATGATAACCATTCTGACATGTGT